TTCGTTCTATTTCAATATGAACGAAACGCAATAAACACGTGAAAAAAGATTTATTACATTTAATAACGACTCGTGCTTCCTTGGTCGGGCCTAATATCACCAATACCTCCGCGAGGCACTATTTCGTTGATCTTCCAACATCCCTTATTGGACATGCCATCACTAGCGTATTGTAAAGTGTCACTGTGTCGCGAAGAGACTGATCACACTGGATTACACGCAGACGACGGGGGAACTACTTTATGAGCAATAAGCAAATATGTTTCCGCCGTAATGATTTCCGGTTTTACCTGTTCGTCTGATTAGCGTAGGAATTATTCCCAACAATGCGGGGATGACAGAGCCTGTCGTCTGCCATCAGTTAAACAGAATGCGGTACAGCCATGTCGTGATCTGCCATCATGTCGGTCTCAGAGATAATCACTGTCATTTCAGTCCGGACGCGCCATTGTGTGGACGGCCAAATGAAGGCTGTGTGGAATACCTATCGCTCAGTTACCGCACAACAGTAACAGAGATAGGTATCAATGTTTCCATCCAGTAATATACACTATAAGGGTAACGCTATTTTTCAGGGCATTATCATTTCCAGAAGCCCGAGGTCTTCCATTAACTGCCCGACAAAGGAGGTCAGTTGAAAAGGTCGAGGGCTTCTGCAAATGATAATGATAATGCCCTGAAAAATAGCGTTACCATTAGTATAGCTAAAATGGATAGAATTTATATCAAATGAAAATAAACAACAATATCGGTTTTTGAAACATTTACTGCAATCAACACGAATTTCACCTACCCATTTTTACAAATATGGAAACGTCATAGAACAAACCAGATGACGTCACTATTGAACATGACGCCACCTATCCCTATCCCTATGACGTCACCTAACATCGGGCGTGATAATGGCCCGTCGTCAAGCAATATGAGGGCATTATCAAGTTACAGTGGCCTGCTCATTTCTGATAACGTGCGGACGGTTTAATGATAATTCTATCCATTTTAGCTACATATAGTGATATTCCACTCCGTCATTAACTGGGGCGGTGGTGTAGCCTAGTGTTCGCTTGCCACGCAGAAGGCCCGGGTTCGATTCCAAACATAGGTACAATATTCGAAGCCAATTTCTGGTATCCCCTGCAGTGACATTGCTGGAATATTGCTAAAAACGGCGTAAAACCATACTCACTTACTTAATTAACTCCTGATACCTATGTTATACATATGATACCCCATCTCTTGCTATACCCGTTGTAGGTTGGGATAGGTTTTAAAACTTGGGTCTGCATCGTGCTACGTTGGTTTGGCTAAGTTTTAGAACGATGTATTGTCTGGTGTTTTTGTATTGCAATATATTGCATAATTTGGGCCAACATCGTGATACGTTTTACAACATATTGTATCTATCAATATTTTTACGAGTTACGAAGCGCGGTGTGAATTATTTGGGTAGGTTCTTGAGTACGACGACGTAGATAATTGTTGACCTCAATGATGTGAAAACAGTACCACTTTGGTCAGCCATTCCCGGAGACATAACTGCAGTACCAATTTTTGTTTTTGTTAAAGCTTTCTTGGCTTCGGTTTTGTTTATTGTGCAAGATGTGGTCTTGTTGTGTTATGGTTTTGTTTTGAAAAAAGTTATGTTTGTTGCGTTGTAGTGTTTTTAGATGGATCTGATGCAAGTTAATACTACTGCGTCTGGCCATTTTCACTGTGCCTTCAAACCGTGATAATAATATTGGTGAATTTGTAGAAAACAAACAGCCGAGACACAAACCAGGCCGTTCAGATGCCACCATGCATTGCTTCAAGGCTGTCAGCCCTTTGAGACGCGCATTCATCCCTCGTTCTCTTGAGAATTTTAAACAGTACTATTCCCTTGAGGTGAATTAATCCATGTAATGAGATTGTTTACCGATCGCCAGAATTTTCCACTAGGCTCATCTTGCACCGATGTGTCTCGGTTTATATCCTGTTTGTTTCTTATGTCATAGTCCCAAAATACATCATATTTTCTTCTATTTTTTGTAAATAATTTTGACTTTATAAAATAAGAGTAAACATCATATTTTGGGTATGTTACTTAATAATTTGTGTACTACAATTAACTATCAGTCGGTTTTTGAATACACCGGCCTTCATTCACAAGGTTGGGTTGATAAGCACTATGTATTAAGCGTTAAGACTACATTGTGTAGTCGAAAGGCATTATGTATTAAGCGTTAAGCCTACATGCATGTTCCGTCCAAAGTTATTATCAGTCGGTGTTGATATACGCCTGCCTTCATTCCCAAGATTTAGTCTATAAGCGTTATGAGCTAATTGTTAAGACTACATGTGTGTAGTCGAACGGCATTATGTATTAAGCGTTAAGACTACATGCATCTTCTGTCCAAAGTTATTATCAGTCGTTGTTGATATACGCCTGCCTTCATTCCCAAGATTTAGTCTATAAGCGTTAGGAGCTAATCGTTAAGACTACATGTCCAGCGTGAGAAGTAAACATTATTCTATGATAACGCGCTCTCCAAGAAAACTTATGTAATTTTAGTCATTTCTGCATACTCATGTCCTTCAAAACTGAGAGGTAATCTCTGAAATTCAGATAGTCAGCATGTTAGATTAGCAACATTGTGTAGATATTGTTTAAGTAAGTGATAATTGAAAATGCGACCGTATCATGACCTAAGAGCATCAGTGGTATAAATAACGGCCTTTATTCCGGGTACCTCACTGTTGAGACGCACGGAATAAAGACTGGCCACTAATAGATGCTTCTCTTGGTTGTTTTAAGGTAAGATATGTTCACTTCATGTATATTGTATGTTCTTAAACTATATTCCTATTTTTCCTGTTTTCTATTGCATTCTACATTCTCAGTTGGTTTGAATATAATCAACATTTTAAATTAGGCAATAATGACTAAGGTAACCAGTAAAGTTAGTATTATAGTAAGGTTAGATCATGTAGCACGAAAAACAATCTAACAATATAGTGTATATTAAAATAGTATAAAATATAATATGATAACGTTTTTAGACATTGGTTCAGCAAATTTATATTCCGCCGGGCTCGTGGAAGCAAAGTAATTCCTGTGCATCTGTTGTCAGTTGTATATTTTATTGAATGTTTGCAATTGAAGTGTGCATGTATGTAAATGAATGCATCTTTAAATGATTACTGTGTGTGTTCCATTCAAATGATTCAAACTACCCTTGATGTAATTAATGTTAAAACAATGTACTTATTGAGCTAGGCAACTATACTGTACACGCAAAACCCGTGAGCGCACATAACACTTGTTGTTTAATTCAGCTGCTCATGTATTGCTATATCTTCAGTATTATTAAGCTCTATTTATTTCTACGTTGTACACATTCAATGACATGCCTTCGGGCATATAACTTTTTGTTATTAACGGTAGTTTCGATATAAAACATGTGGCCATATTATTTAATTAGCAGATTGAAATCTTATTAATATTCGTATATTCTATTATTCGGTTTAAGTTGTATTCTGTAAGGTTGTATTGAAGTAAAGTTCATCTTTACGTTGCACATAAACATTAAAAGATCATGTAAGGTTATTTTAGTAATGGGTGAGATATTTGTTAATAATTCTATATTCTTATTATTCGGTTTAAGTTGTATTCTGTAAGGTTAGGTCATCTTTACGTTTCGCATAAACATTAACAGATCATGTAAGATTATTTTAGTAATGGGTGAGATATTTATTAATATTTGAATATTCTTATTAATTGGTTTAAGTTGTATTCTGTAAGGTTGTATCGAAGTAAAGCTCATCTTTACGTTTCGAATAAACATTAAAAGATCATGTAAGATTATTTTAGTTATTGGTAACACATGTAGTACATGTCTTACCGAAGAGTTATCCTGTTTATCTAAAATACATTGTGCTTAATTGCGCTATATCACGTGTATTATATTTTCAACCAAATGTAAAGTGTCTTCGTTTCATTGTTAAATGCATTTGTTTACTGTATGATATATTGTAAGACTTTAACTGTAACTGTTAATTCATAATTTTCGGAATACTTCAAATGTACTTTGTTTATGCTTTATTGTGATATGTAAATGACTGTTGAGACGCACGGAATAAAGACTGGCCACTAATAGATGCTTCTCTTGGTTGTTTTAAGGTGTGCGGTCCCTTGCTAATTCCCCGACAGCTAATTCTAGGAATTATAATTAGCCTTGACCAAACATTAACCTTTAAAGGTTATTATAGGTCATAAGGTTTATTATAAATGGTGGAGGAAATCCTAGATGACCGGCGCAACACCCAATAACTACAGACAGAAGCTGAGGGGCCAAGAGGCAAGGTCATTGTTGACCAGCCTGCTCAGTCCTGTTCCGGTCCTTCAGTCACCATCTTCACCCATCCTTGTGTCTCCAGCTGTCATCACCACAACAGCAGCAAATTCAACAACGCCTGCATCAACGTTGACAGCAACTTCAACAATAACTTCATCATTGACCTCAAATATGTCAAGCATGCCACATGTAAAGCTTGTGGAGTACTCTGGAACTACAAATGGAAAGAATTGGTGGCAAGATTTTTTAAACTTTTCAAACTTTTACTCCTTTAATGATGATCGGAAATGCAAACTAATACCATTTTATCTTGAAGGAGCAGCTAAATTATGGTATCGGGAGCTCTCTGAGGGAGATCGGAATAACCTTGCCCGAATAAAGGCGTCATTCGACCAACGCTTCTCTTCTCCAGCTGCATTCGACGTCAGTGTTTTGCAGATGACACAAACGAGTGACGAGACTGTCAACGGATATGTCACAAGAGTCCAGGCTGCTACAACACATCTAAATCTCCCTGCGTCTGTTGTCGTGGCAATAACAGTAAATGGTCTTCGTTCGGCAATACGACAGATTGTTTATAATAAGGAACCGACCACCTTACAGGAAGTAAGGCATCAGGCAGAGTTGGCAGAAAAGTCCTTGACGGCCAATTCAGCTGATGTCAATATGGCTGCAAAGGTGGACCAGCTCACCAACTTGGTTGCCACCTTGATCACCAAGACAACGCCCCCTACCGTGCAGGCTGCTGCTATCCCATCATCCAGTGGACAGCAAGACCATCACAACAGACCTCCGACGCAGAGATATAGACCGCATAGACAACAGCAACAACAGTTGCCACCTCCAGACCAGCCACCACCACCGATGCCAGCACATCCAATGAACATGTCCACACAGCTGCCACGCCCTCCATTCCATCGTCAACAGTACCCACACCCTCAACAGCAGTATCCACGACGACCACGACTACCAGTGCCACCTCACCTCCACCAAAAGTGTCATGGCTGTGGTATGTATTGCTCGAATCGTTATGCATGCCCACACTACAACACAGTTTGTACTTATTGCAATAAGATAGGACACCATTTTAGCGTCTGTCTCAGTGCTTACTATTCACAGAACAAAGCACCTATGCAATAGGGACTCGCGCCTGATTCTCAGATTTCTGAGGTCAGGCATGAGAACCCTGTGGTCTCACTTGTGGCTCCTTTGGTCAAGAACACTGTTCTGATAAAGGTGAAGCAAGCAAAAACACCAGCTCTTGTTGACACAGGTGCATCCATCAGCTGTGTCAGCATGCGCTTCTTACACAAGGCAGGATACACTAAGGAACAGTTATCTAAATCCCATCTTAGTCAAATAACAGGTGTAGGAGGTGAAATTCATTCAGTATTAGGCTCTCTTTCACTTGATATTAATGTTGGCAATGTTCTCCTGACCCAAACCTTTCATGTTCTTTCCTCTCTCCATCACTCTCTCATCCTAGGCATGGACTTTTTAGAAGATAACAAAGCTACTGTCTGTCTGTCTTCTAAATGTCTTTACATTCATGAAGGTCTAATCACTGTTGCTTTGGTTGAATCTAATGCAGGTTATGCTAGGTGTAAACATCAAGTTGCTATTCCCGCCAAACACCAGGTAGATGTTCCTGTTCTTATCTCTAGGAATAGACGAGGTGCAATCCTTCTGCTTGAGCCTGTACCTGAACTTTCCAAAACAAAACTTCAAGGTGCTAGATGTCTTGTAAGGAATTCTAAAAAGGCTGTGTACATGAGACTTTTAAATCCAACAGATAAAGATGTCCACTTAAACACTAAAAGAGTACTTGCAACCACTTCAGAAATTGACATTTCCTCCATATCCGTTCTCTCAGACATTCCGAACACCGACCCTAGCCTCTCTACCTCCAACTTGTCAAAAGATTTTAATGCATACTCAGGTCATTCATTCAACTCACCCTCAGCTCACTCATTCACTCAAAACTCAGGTTGTACATTCAACATGTCAAAACAGGTCAATGCATACTCTGGTCATTCATCCAACCAACACTCAGGTCTTTCACCAAACCAATACTCTGGTTATTCGTCAAACACACCCTCATGTCATTCATTCAACCCACACTTAGGTCACTCATTTAATCAAAGTTGTTCATCCATCATGTCACATCAGGTCAGTGCAACTTCATCTGATCAACCTAAAGGCATCTCATCACTATCACATACTTCAAAGTTAGGTCACACTCTTTCTCAACCCCACACTCAGGCTACTCACACCAACTTAGGATCATCTCATGCCTCTGTTCACCCATCACAAATCCAGAACCCCCCATGCTCATCTGATATATCTTTTGATTTAAGTGAGTCTGATCTTTCCTCTGAACAAAAGCAAACTCTCTTATCCTTTTTAAATTCTCAAAGATCTGCCTTTGCCGAAAACTGGTCGGAACTAGGTACAACCCACTTGCATCAACACAAAATAGAAACAGGTGATACTAGACCAGTAAGACTTCCCTTCTATCGCCAAAGTGCTGAAATCAGAAAAGAATGTTCAAAACAAATAGAGGAAATGTTAGAAGCAAACATTATCTCCCCTAGTTCTTCTGAATGGCATTCCCCGGTGGTTATGGTAAAGAAAAGGGACAACACCTATCGCTTTGCGGTCGACCACAGACGTTTGAATGCTGTTACAAAACCCATTTTCTTCCCTCTCATTCGTTTTGAAGATGTCATAGATAATGTTGGCGAAAGTCAGGCCAAATTCTTTAGTGTTCTGGATTGTGCTAGTGGGTTTTGGCAGATTCCCCTTCATTCGGACACTAAACACAAATCAGCGTTCATAACTCCTGATGGTGTATTTGAGTGGAATCGCCTCCCTTTTGGCCTGAAAAATGCTCCCATGGCATTCCAAAGCACAATATCTGAAGCCTTAAAAGAAATGAATTGGAAATACATTTTGATTTATGTGGATGATGTGATAGTATTTTCTAAAACTTTCTCTGAACATTTGACCCATTTGAAATGTGTATTCCAAAAGATCAGACAAGCAGGACTTACTCTTAAAGCTAGTAAATGCAAGTTTGCTGCCAAAGAAGTTCAGTATTTAGGTCACATTTTTGACAAAGATGGAATCAAAGTAGATCAATCCAAAATTGAAGCAGTCAATAAAATTCCCCAACCAAAGAATGTACATGCTGTTAGACACTTTTTAGGCTTAGCCAGTTACTACAGAAAATTTGTCCCAAACTTTTCAGGAATTGCCTCACCACTGTATGATCTTCTCAAAAAAGACACCCCCTTCATTTGGTCTGACAGAGCTGAACAGGCATTCACAACACTTAAGCAAAAGCTAACATCATCTCCAGTTCTTGCTTATCCTGATTCCTCTCGTCCATTCATTCTCACCACTGATGCATCAAATACTTCCATAGGGTACATCTTAGGTCAAAAGGACTCTGAGGGACGTGAACATGTAATATGCTATGGAGGTAGATCTTTACATCAGGCGGAAAGAAAATGGGGTGTCACACACTTAGAATGCCTGGCAGTTGTAGAAGGAATTAGACACTTTAGAGTATATTTGGCATCAAAGAAATTTCAGGTGTACACAGATCACAAAGCTTTGACCTGGCTCCATAAGTTCAAAGAAGACGCAGGACGTCTAGGTAGATGGTCGCTTTTGCTTCAAGGCTATGATTTTGAAGTTATACACCGCCCAGGAAAATCAAATGCAAATGCTGATGCTATATCTCGTACTCAGTATCCTGAACCCAAAACGCTTCCAGTTACTGATGACATACCATCCCCTCCCCTGCCCTCTCATGTTCACGCAAATGTTACAGCTATCACATGCACTCCTTCCTTGATCTCCAAACAACAAACATGCCAGTCTACCCAATCACAAACATCCAAACTTCCTACTGATGTTCACAAAAATAGGCTTTCTCCCTCTCCTGACACATCGAACTCCATCACAAACACCCCAGCCCACTCTCCATCCTTGGTGCCGATTGTTGACGATTCTGTCTCCCTAGCTGTTGATTTTGTGTATGTGAATGAACCACAAACTACCAGTCCATCAGTCTCTGCAGTATCCTCTACGTTCGATTTTGAGCAACTAGATGTCAAACAATACAATTCCCCAGATCTACAGCCTATTATTGATTTCCTTCAAAAAGGTGAAATCCCAGAATCTTACAGTGAATCTCAGGTCAAAGGTCTTAGAGGTCGTGCCCAGGAATATGATGTCTGTGATGGAATCCTTTATCATTTTCATCAATCAAAGTTTAGAGGATCCAAAAACAATCGCCCCTCAGTTATTACTCAGCTTGTTGTGCCTCTTCCTCTCCGCAAAGATCTTCTTTATGCCTATCATGACTCAAAAGTAGGTGGTTGTCATCTTGGTAGGGACTCAACAAGACAAACCCTCTTAGCCAAATATTACTGGCCGGGCATGTATCAGGATATAGAGGACTACATAAAATCTTGTGATATCTGTCAGCGATCTAAGCGTCAGATCAATGCCAAGCCAGCTCCAATGGTCCCAATGCCAATTGCAGACACCTTTTCCCGCCTTCACATTGACATCTTAGGTCCCCTCCCAGAAACCAAGGCAGGCTACAAATATGTTCTACTGATTGTTGATTCTTTCACACGTTGGACAGAAGGTTTCCCTATGCGTACCCAGGAAGCCAGTGAGGTTGCTACCATCCTTTTCAATGAAGTGATTACTCGGTTTGGTGCGCCTCGCACTCTTCTCTCTGACAGAGGTAGGCAGTTCACATCAAAGCTTGTTAATGCACTCTGTGAGCTCCTTGATATCAAGCATCACTACACATCAAGTTACCACCCTCAGACTAATGGCATGTGTGAGAGAAGGAACAGCACTATTGAGCAAGCACTCAGAGCATATGTTGAACGTGATCAATCAAATTGGGCAGATCTCATCCCCTGTATCATGATGTCAATGCGTTCAACTCCATGTCATTCCACTGGCTATACACCTCACTATTTCATGTTTGGTAGGGAAATGCATCTTCCAATAGATATAAGCCTACTTCCAAAGCCCACTGTAGGGAAAACTGCGGAGAAACACCTTAACACAGTCTTGGATAATCTCAAAGTTGCTAAATCCATAGCCAAAGACAACATGCAGATCAGTCAGAAAATCAATAAAGAACGTACAGATTTGAAAGCTAAGGTTCCATCCTTCTCAGTTGGTGACAAGGTCCTCTTAACTGACCCGACAGTCCCAAAAGGTCTCTCATCCAAATTGTCAAGCAAATGGGCAGGTCCTTTCACAATCATTGCTTTAGGTCCAAATCACACATTCAAACTTCAACATTCACACTCGGCAAAAGTCCACAAATCCCTTGTTCATGCTAACAGGTTGAAAACATACACCATGAGAACTGAAAATCCACCCAATGCACAAGATCCTGATGAAGAGCAAGTGACTAGATGTCCATCCCCAGCTCCTCGACCAACACACAGCCCTGAAGATGTCACACTTCCAGTACCCCCACAAGCAAACATCCCTGATTCTGACACCCCAAATTCTTCACCCACTCCCTCTACATCTCAGGCACCTGACGTTGAAATTCAGCAAAGTCAAACATTTCCCGTTGATAGCATCCTTCGCTGCAAAATGATTAGAGGTAGGAAACAGTATCAGGTCAAATGGACGGGATATTCCAAAACCACCTGGGAACCTGCATCTAATCTCAGTCCTCATCTTCTCAAACACTTCCATAAACACAAGACACATTCCGGACGTGCACGCAAACACAAACCTAGGTTTTTCAAGTAGTTCAAGACCTATCTTGATCTCCTCAGTCTCTTAATGATATTTCATTGGGTTCCTTGGATAATGTTGACCAACCCCTCTACAGTAACATAGTTTCTGTGTGTTATAAGTGCTAGGATTTGCATATGTTACTGCAGGACATTTTGCATCTCTAGGTCATCATATCTTATTGGTTTCCATTGTTTTCGTTTCTCTAAGGGTCTGCATGGAGTCTGATGTTACTTTGGCTACTGACTGTTTTCGCTCACCCTATCACGTGTTCGAGTCCAATCCAACGTCTTAATTATGGAGTCATCTACCAGCCAACCTCCAAAGTTCACTTTGCGACAGAGTTTTGGGTCCACACCTACGAGGTCAAGCTCCCAACAGTTCCAAGTATTCCAACAATGGGCGGCTGTCACCAAGGCAACAGCATTTGTCCACTCCTCAATCAATTTCAAATGCATTTGAATGTTGTCAAAACGAAGTGTGTTACTCAACTTAATGCAACACGTCAACAAATCATGAAGCTCATTCCTGAGTCCAATCGTCCTTCCTCTTCTCGCTCCAAACGAGCAATTTTAAGCTTTGTTGGTTCATTGTCTAAGACATTATTTGGAACAGCAACTACAAATGATGTGAACATACTTGCTCAACACATAAATGCCCTCACAAAACATGACATTAGTCTCACAAACACCCTCAAACAACACTCTGCCCATATGTCATCTTTCATGAAAGTTGTAGATAGTCGCTTCAAAAATGCTGTAAAAGGTGTTAAGGCAAACCATGATGCCATTCAGTATACTGCCCTTGCTTTAGAGAAAAATATTCAGTCTATTCAGTCATCTCTTGTCACATTGACATCTCTTTTAATTGACCAGATTCAACAGGCGTATGTTGTAGAACATCAACTTGAAGAACTTAAGTTAGGTATTCACGATTTAGCTAAAAATAAATTGTCAC